GCAATACGTAATAATAATACTTCATATAATGAGAAAATTTACCCACCAAGTGTGGTAAGAAAGGATTAACAGGATCTCTATCCTGTAATTTTTTTGACGGGGTATTCAGGAATTGCTGGAGGAATCAAGCAACTCTTCCAACCTCTAAAAGAACCTTTTTTTTTTCCAAAATTACTATTTATTAGTTAGAATACATCTACATCTACAAGTGAGGAGTCCTGCAAAGGGGATACCCATCACAGCAAGACTTTAACAAAAATAAAAAGGGGATGGGAGAGATAAATAATTCATAATAGTAAAATATATATTTGTATTCAAATGCTAGTGCTCTATATGGGCATTGCAAATATCTCTATATCATGCCATCGAAAATATGACCAATCACTCTGAAGCCACTGTATATTGTACGCTATTAAACTCATACATACCACAGTCCACTGCAAAGTTATTTCTGCAGAGCCATACCCAATTTTCTCAAGCATTCTACCAAATGACCTAGTTTGACATGCATCTTTTTGTATTCTGTGCCATAACTTTAAAGACCTTTAACATATAATAAATGCTTTAATAATTTTTTTTAAAACAAATAAAGAAAAATTAAAAAAAAAAACAATTGGTTCAAAGCCATTTTAATTGTTTTTTTTTTCTTTTCAGTTCAGTCGTTACACTCACTGTGATGAGCAGTGCATTTCTATAGCATATTGCTATGACATATTTTAAGATTCATGTGTATACCACAAAAAAATATTGGCCACTCCTGCAAAATTAAACTGTATGCCCCTTAAAGGCACTGCATAACTATATGTTTGATGAAACTTAACATGCTCACCTGTTGCAGTGGGGGCCTACAACAGCAAATCTGCATCAAGCAGCAGCAGATGGCAGCCCAGATTCCAATGGCAAATTCCACAATACCAAGAAGCAAAATAATGACAGCCACTGCCAGTCCAGTGTTGTACCTGTATCRTGAGTCGTAGTACGCTCCATAAGGGAAATGGAAAGCAATGCAAAGGCTGTAGATGATGATGAATATTCCACCCATCACAGCTGAGGTGATCGAGAAACCCATGAAGATGGCTGCGTGATGTTTTGTTATAGAAAAAATAAAAAGCTATTCAGAATATAAAGACAAAGAATGACCACCACAACAAACACGTGGGAGAAGATGAAGCAGAAGAAGAACAACTACAATGACAACAACAAAAAGAATAATCATTCTGACTATTTTTAATTATTTTTCAAAAATTTTTAATCAAGGTTTAATTGATTTTTTAAATAATTAATTTATCAATTTAGTAATTAAGTTCTTCAAACTGTTGTAAACTAAACTATTGAGCAGCAATTCTGCAAATAGTAGTTGTGAAACTTCAACACTCTCCGACCCTTTTTCGTCAAACTGTCATAGACTTCTTCGGAGAGTTTTAAAAGTAACACTAAATGCCACTAGGTATAAGCCATTATGGGGGCCAATGACCATAGAGGCTTGGCTGGACTTATAAACAGGAACAGATGATGTTGCAAAAAATTTAAAATGTGCAAGGCAAAGTGAGGTAAAACATTTGAGGGCTACAGTTTTTGCTAAAACCCTTGGCCCCTAGACTAATTTAAAGAAGGCATTGTACAATTTCCACATGCAACCTGAGCTGAATGCACAATGGCAAAAAAATTACAACAATGCTAATTTCATATGATTAGATTTAAAATGATAGCGTAATATGAACAAATAGAGTCAGTGGATACAACGAAATGAACTGAAGATGGCATGATTCATGCTTACACACACTGTCTTTAAAAAGTTTTCTCATGAATTTGAAATGTTTACAGACCCATGGATATCTTTTCACCCCATTCTTGATGATACTATGACTTGTGTTATTTCCACATGATAAAATAAAATAAAACTTGCTATTCATGAATTATCTAAACCTTTTACATACATTTACAATCAGTCAATCAATATCTCTTATTAACCAGGCGCGACGGCCATACTGGGAGAATATCGCCCCGAGGTCTTGACAATACTGACCTAGAGTAGCGAGGTCCATACAAAAAAGACTGAGGGCCGATATTCTTCCAGTATGGTCCCAAGGCTTGACCCAACACACGGCCCGAGCTACCAGATTGAATATTTCCGTTACCAAATAAGAAAAGAATGAAAGCATCGCGAAATACTCTACTCTTTCCTCTTGATTTTCTTTCATGCTTTTTCTTTAGGAACGTTTCTATGTCCTCTTTCTACTTGAGTTTCCTTGCATGCTTGGATCCCTCCCGTTTAGGTATCTGTTGGGGTACTTGGTACACAAGATAGTTAGGCCTCCTAAGAGCTCGTAAACTTACTCTCAGGATTTTAGAGGATGCAACTTCTAATCAACAGAAGTTTTAAGGATTAGTTCTTCACTCTGTTAATAGTAATAGTAATGATGGATATGAAATTAAGAAGATGACGATGATAATAATAATGATGAAGTTAATAATAAAATATACAACAATAATGGCTTTCACAGCATCATGATTAAGCCCATTCACGTTGTAATTTGTGGCACCTTACGATTCTGGCCAACTTCATCTATTTTGTTTATTATTTTCTATTTTTTTTTCTTACCTGTTCATCCTGAAGGACCATGTACTGCCCTTGCCCATAAGACTGAGAAACATCCACTTGTTGCTGTTGGTAACCAGATGCTGCGGCTCCGGTTGGAGCAACTTGGACAAACTGAGTCTGACCTCCCATCATGGCTCCAGATGTAGGGACATGGACAACCTGCGGATGACCTCCCACGGCTCCAGAAGCTGGCATCATTACCATCTGAGGTTGACCTCCCTGTGGGACCGTTTGAACCGCGACCATACCACCAACTGTATGCATTGGAACAGCCACAGGACCTCCAGGCATCTGGGAGACGGCGTACCCAGTGTTTACTGTTTGCATCACTTGACCCTTTGGAGTGAACAGAGCAGGGAATTGGCGGCGTTGATTTTTAAATGCTATACCGACCACCAACACATACGACTTTGACTTAATTAGACATCCACGGAGGTAGTTGTGAAAAGGCTTGACGCAATACATAATAATAATACTTCATATAATGAGAAAATTTACCCACCAAGTGTGGTAAGAAAGGATTAACAGGATCTCTATCCTGTAATTTTTTTGACGGGGTATACAGGAACTGCTGGAGGAATCAAGCAACTTTTCCAACCTCTAAAAGAACCTTTTTTTTT